TCCATAGACTGTTCTGGCAGAGCAAGGTCTCAGAAATCATTGGATATGAGGCCCCCCCACTTACAGGTGGAGAAACTGAGGCTCAGGAATAGAGCAGAACTTCAGCGGTGAACGCTCTGGAGTCCTGGAATTCCCTGCTTTAAGGACACAGTTTGGTGTTCTCTGCATGACCATCATGACCCCCAAGAACCTGTCCCCCAGCAGTCACAGCTCGCTAAAGCAACCAAGTTGATCTGGTCAAATGGGGTCCTGATGTTCTTTGTCACCACCCTCTCCACACCCCCAGAGGTGCCCACCCTCACTGCCGTGCAAAGGGGCCATGCACTCTGATGTGAGCCTCCTCAGGGCAACGAAGGGTTTGCCAGACTGGGGCGCAAGCCCACAGTGAGACTGGGAGTACTGATGGCGGCTGGGTCAGCTTAAGGGGGCAGCAGCATCCCTCGGGCTGCTGTTGTCCAAAAGCTGCCGTACCCCAGTAAAGACAGAAGTGGGTATGGCTGTGTTCCAGTAAAACTTGACTTTCAAAAGCAGGCAGCAGGCCAGATTTGGCTCAAGACCCGTAGCTGGCCCTTTGTTCTACATATGCCAAATCCCGTGATAACCCAGATTTGTCGGTCTGACCCCAGGCCAAGCAGCAGCCCTGCCACGGGATCCGGGACAGAGCAGGACATCAGGCTGGAGGGCACAGATCTGGGTCTGGGCTCCCTGTCCCACCTCACAGTGTGATCCTAGCAACTTGCTCAACCTCTCTGGTCCTCAGTCTCCACACCTGAAGTCTGGATCAGAGGTACAGACTCAGGCTGCTGGGATCATGCTACCATGTCATGGAGAAAGGCTACCCAGACTTGGGTTCATCTGAGGACTAACTGGCTTTTCCATTCCCACCAATCGTTGCTGGTAGAGACGCTAGCCCTGGCATTTCAGAAGTCACAGGTCACATTTCAACGAGAGCCCTCCTGGTTGTATGCTGGCCACCAGCTCAGGCCAGCCTGACGTGTGGGGCCAACCACGCCATAGGCCATGTCCCTTTACAGCCTCTCAGCTCGAGCTGTCTGCTTCCTTCCATGTGGACTTGGTGATGCTTTTATTAGAGCACAGAGAAGACTGGCTTTCCCAATGGATGCTGTTTGCAGGTTCGAAATAAATTGTTTTGGGGCACAAGCATTAGAAATGATTTCCCTCCCCTCACCTGCACACCTGTGTTCATTATCACCCGGTAATGACCTTACAAGGCCTTGGGTACTGAGCTCACCTAACTCGGAATTAGCCCGCACAAAGCCCTCCTGGTTGGGTTTTTCTTAACCATTTGCTCAGTGGGTGTATTATTTGACACATAATTGTCTTCTTGGGGGAAATTAATTTTCAGGGCCTTGAATGGTCTTGATTAAAATGGAGAGAGTGCTAAATTCCAGCCCTGCCCCATGGAGCCTGCAGGAGACTCAGCTCACTTCCCTCAGGGAGCGTGCGGGAAGACACTTCTCCCAGCGGGGCCCGGGCGACAGCCTGTGTCCCTGCAGGATGTCCAGGCCCTCCTCTGTCATTATATGCCCTCGGGAGGAGCTCCCAGTCTGTCCCAGGAGCAAGGATGCCACCAGCCCCTTGGGAGGATGTAGATTCACATCTTGACCTCTCCGGTAATGGGGCCATGTGGTCTCGGCAAGGTCCACCACTCTCCGAGCTTCAGGGTCTTTGGCAGCAAGTGAAGCCACTCATGGGCATCTTCTGGGGAGCCTGTGCTTGAGCTCCAGCTGGAAGGACTTTGGCAGCACCCTCGAGACCCTGAGTGGTACGCAGCCCACATGCAGCCTCACCTCCGATGTCTCCTGAGTCGTAGCTCTGCTCAGCTCCTGGTTCCCCTCACCCTCTCTCTCTATGCATCCATTCATTGTTTCTTTCCTTCCTACCTTCAATCCCACACTCAGCCCATTGTCTGCTGGACAGCCGGAGGGATCCAAATAGTGCAAGCCACTCCTGTGCTCAACACCCTGCCATGGCTCCCTCCTTGCTCACAGTCAGAGACAGCGTCCTCCCCGTAACCCCCATGGTCCTGATCAGCTGCCCTGTCATATCTCTGTCTTCGGCTCTCCCCAGGCTCCCTGTCATTCATGGGATTCCAGGCATACTCCTGCCCCAGGGGCCTTTGCACTGGCAGCTCCTTCTGCCTGGTTCAGTCTTCCCCCAGACACCTGCATTGCTCCTCACCTCCAAGTCTTCGCATGGTTTCGTCTCCTGGAGGCCTTCTCTGAGCAACCTGTATTTGACCCTCCCCCCCCCCCCCCCCGAGATGGTATTGCCATCCACAGTGTCAGTCACTATAGGCCAGGTTTGGTTTACTGTCCTCTCCTTCACTGGAAGGCGAGCACCCTGCAGGCAGGCCTGACCCAGGGCAAGAGCCAGGATCACTTGCCTGCCCCTGGCTGACCTGGATTGTTTCTGCCCAGCCTTGAGAGACGCGGCCTTAATTTGGATGGAGAGCCCCTTTCAGCCTTCTGCGGCCTCCACAACCCCCCTGAGCCCAGGGGCGGTTCTGGAGGTCTGCACATGCCCAGCTCACAAGGCAGGCGCTGGTCTGTCTGCCCTTGTCAAAGCCAGGAGTCCATGCCCAGCCCCTGTGAGCTCCACTGATTTAGCTCTCGTGGAGTGGAGCCCTCACTTCCTGGTGGCCAGGGACTCTGAGCCCCATTCTCTCCCTTTTGCTTTTGGGAGTTAGCACTGCTGCAAACTAGGCCCCAAGCTTGTCATCCTCCAGAGGCAAAACCAGTTGGTTTGCACCTCCCTGGCCATGCCTGGTTGTCCTCTCGGGACTGGCCTTGCTCTGTTGTGGCCTGGCTACCCTGCATCATGGCAGGTGGCATCTCAGAGCACATCAGGTTATGGGTGCCCAGCTCGGCTCAGGGCCTTGGTCCCCGGGGCAGCAAGCAGCTTGTCCCCACAGGTGCCGGGAGTGTCCCTGTGACCTCAAACTCCACGCTGAGTAGGGTTGTTCATTCATGTCATGGCCACCCACTAGCATATAGTCACCAAGCAGCTGTTTCATGCCCTACCCTGCTGTGTGAGCTGGGGACAGGATGAAGCCCTATCCCCATGGGGCTGGCCTCCCCTCTCCCAGCCATGGTGGGGGTCCTCCTGTGAAAGGAAAATAATAATATCGGCTTCCCGGGAGGCCATGAGGAGTAAAGGAGACAGATACAGGACGGCATCAACAAACACTTTCTATAAAGGACCAGATAGTAACAATCTTCGGCTTTGTGGGCCATACAGGCCATCATCGCCGCTCAGTTCTGTGGCTGCCCCAGCCAACGATGATATGTCAGCGGTGGGTGTAGCTGTGTTCCCATGAGACCTCACTCCCCAAAACAGCCGGTGGGCTGGATGTGGCCCGCTGACCCCTGGGACAGGCACAGATGAAGAGGCAGCCACTGTATCACGAGTGGTGACGATGGTGGACAAAGGACCACAGGAAGTTCACGGGCTGGGGGTGGCAGGGCGCTGGGGGTAAGCAGGAGCCAGGTGAGCCACCTTCTGTTTCAATCTGTTGAAGCCACACTGAGGCTGGGCTTCCCTGGAGCTGTATTTAGTCCATAACATGGTGAGGTAAGTTCTCAGAGAGAGGAAGGCTACGTAACTCGTAACTCCTGGCTGACGTCTGCCAGGAGGCCCTGCAGAGGTGGCCAGTTTCACCCTCTGCATCCTGCCCGGCGCCACCGCTTTGAAGGAAGCCTGGGCTGGGCCCCGGGGGGCAGCTGGGTGCAGGCGGGAGCCCCATGGGTCTCCTACATCCTGCTTAATTGCCCTGAGATGACTCTGCTGGCGCCGGCCTCCCTCCTCCCTGATGCTCTGAGATCCCGCTGCTCATTGCTCTCTGCAGCCCCATCTCAGGCTGTGTCCTGAGTTTTTCTTAATTAAATGTTTGCCTCCTCCCTCTAGACCCTGCGTGGCTCCTCCTTCAGGAAGGGAAGAGGAAGAATTAGCATTAATTGAATGTGGACCACGTGCCGGGCCTTGGGGAGGGGTGCAGGGGCCCAGAGAGGGCAGACGCCTGCCCCTGCCCGAGGGCACACAGAGTAGGAGCCCTAGAGCTAGGATCTGGAGTCAGGACCCTCCCTCGCTCCTCCGCCCCACCTGCCCTGTGTCTCATCCTCACAGGAGAGGCCAGGCATGAGGAACCCAAGTTGGAGTCAGGGAGATGGGGGCTGAGATTGCTCCCTCCCACCAAGCCTCAGCTTGCTCATCTGTAAACAGGCACAGTGATGGTCGCCACCACACAGTGGTTCTGAGGATCCAGTGTGGTGGGGAGGGAAAGACAGAGAGAGGGGGTGGGGGGGACAGAAAGTCCTCGCCCGGTCTCTTGGGGCCTGAAGGTCATTGGTGCTGCAGACTGCCCAGCCAGCCCCGTGTGCACCTTTCTCCTGGAGATGGAGCGGTTGGCAGCAGGCCTGTGTGCGTTACGTTCTTGCCCTGTCCCTGTGCCAAAGGAATGCCTTCCAAGGAGCATGCCACCATGGCCACAAAGAGTTCCCAAAGCCTTCCTGGAGGAGTGGAGAGCAGCTGGGGTCTGTCCTTCGCCCCCACCCGGTCCTTGGCCATTTCCCTGGTGGAGCCGCCGGGAGCCCAGGTGATGCTCAGCTCAGGTGGCAGGGTGGGATAGCCCTGTGTGCTGACAGAGGCCAACGGAGATGCCATACTCTCCTGGGAAAACCAGAGCCCACTCTATCTAGTGAAATCAGGGTTCCAGTCCACTCAATCCTGGCACCCCGTCATCAGCCTCATCACTATCCAGCACAATTAGTATATCCATAGCCGCCCTCCTGCCGCGCCTGCCAGGGGCTTCTATCCCACATGCTCTGTATGAGGGGGTCCAGTTCCCTGGGTCCAAATAATGTATTCACATGGGCTTTTTATTTTTATTTGTATTTTTATTTACTTTTTCTATGGTGGTAAAATCCATATAACATAAAATTTACCATTGTAACCATTTGTAAGCATGAAGTTCAGGGGCATGAGTACATTCCCTGAGTACATACACTGTGTGACCACCCCACCGCCCATCTCCAGAACTTTTCCATCATCCCAGACTGAAATTCTGTCCCCGTTACACACTAAATCCCCACTCCCCTCCGCCACATCTGGCAGCCCCATGCTGCTTAGTGTCTCTGCGAGTTTGACGACTCTAGGGACCTCGTACAAGTGAAGTCATACAGTGTTTGTCCTTTTGTGACTGGTTTATTTCACTTTTATGATGTCCTCAAGATTTATCCATGCTGCAGGACGTGTCAGAGTTTCTTTCTTTTTCAGGGAAGAGTAATATTCTATCGTATGGATAGACCACATTTTGTTTTATCCATTCATCCATTGTTGGACACTTGATTTATTTCCACCTTTCAGGTATTATGAGTAATGCTGCTCTGAACATGGTGAAACCCCACTTCCAATTCTTTTGGGTTTCTACCCAGCAGTGGAATAGCTGGGTCATATGGTAATGCTATAGTCAGTTTTTTGAGGAACAACTCTACTGGTTCCCACAGCTGCTGCGCCATGTTACATTCCCACCTACAGTGCACAAGAGGTCCATTTCCCCCACATCTTAACCAACACTTGCTTTGGTAATAGTCATACATGGTATGAAGTGGTATCCTGCTGTGGTTTTGATTTGCATTTCCCTAAATTGAGCATCCTTTCACATGCCTATTGATCATTTGTGTACCCATTGAAGCCCTTCAACCATTTTTGAATTGGATTGTTTTCCACTGTTGTTGAGTTTTAGCAGCTCTTTATTCATTCTTGATATCAATCCCTTATCAAATCCATGATTTGCAAATATTTCCTTTCACCCTGTGGGTTTTCTTCTCTGCTGATGTGTCCTCCCATGTACAGAAGTCTTTAGTTTGATGAATTCCAGTTTAACATTTTTTTCTTTTGATGCCTGCATATGTTTGGTCTATGACTGCTTTGGTGTCCTATCCAAAAAAAAAAAAAAAAAAAATCATTGCCAAATCCAGTGTTGTGAAGCTTTCCCTATGTTTTCTTTGAAGATCTTTATAGTTTTAGCTCTTGTGTGAAGGTCTTTGATCCGTTTGAATTGATTTTTGTATATGATATGAGGTATGGGTCCGATTCTTCTGTTTGTGGAATCCAGGTTTCGAGGCACCATTCCTTGAAGACTGACCTTTCCCCGTGGAGTGGTCTTGGCCCTCCTGTCAAAGACCACTTGACTGTGTATGTGAAGGTTTATTTTTGGGGTCTCTGTTCTGTTCTGTTTTTGTAAAGTTTTATTGGAACCTGGCCACACCATTCACTTGTGTATTGTCGACAGCTGCTTTGGAGAGAAAACTGGCAAAGTCAGAGTAGTTATGACAGAGAAAATTGGGCTCTCGAAGCCAAAATTACTGTCTGGCACTATGGTCCACTCTCATCTGCCTATACAACCCCTTCGGCCCTCCCTGGGATGGGAGGTCCCTGGATGGCTTCCTCCACTGCCCCCTCACCTGGCAGGCAGGGCAAGGTCCACCACGTAATAGGAGCTCCATCCATGTTGTGGGTTTGTTGCCCTCTGTTGACTCAGGAGGTTTTTGATGGCCCCTGCTCGGTACGCCTGCTCTGAGCATCACCTGTGGCCACTCTGTCCCTCTCTGGGAATACACACTCATGTCCCCCTTTTGCCAGTCCTCAGGCTTGGGCCCCCACCTAACACCCGAGCACTTGGCCCCTGTCCTGAAGAGCCACATCCGAGAAAAACATGCTGGTTCAGTAACTTCATCCACAGCGTTCATTGTGAATAAACAACGCATGACCACGTTCTCTGTGTGGCTGATTAAAGCTGCAAGGGGGCCCAAGTGCCTTTTGCCCAGCGTTCCCAGCCTGGCCCCTCCCACAGATACCCACTGACGTCCGTTTGCAGTGTATCCTGGTGGAAATTTTTTGTGCATTTTCAGGCACACACAAGCATTAAGTGGACAGTGCTCTGTGTGCGTCTTCCTCTCTCATAAATAGAATTACACTGCGTGCAGAATGTTCCGCAGCTGCCTTTGTATTCCCGGAACAGTTCCCTGTGCTGTCCTGTAACCCCTCAGCGCATCTTAGCCGGTGGCCTACAGAGGGACCCCCAGGTTGCTTTCCTTTTTTGTGAGCAGCCGTTATCATGTCAGCGGGGTGGCAGGCTCCCAGAGAGACCCCCTTGCCACCAGCACCACCCCTCACTTTCCTGCAGGAGACCCCAAGCTCCCAGACAGCGGAGGTCTCGTGCCCTCGCCGCTGTACCCCCACGTTAAGGACAGTGCCCAGCTCTGTAAACAGCACTGAGAGGTGACGTTTGCAGGATCCTGATCCTGCCTTACTCTCCTCTGGGTGCTGTGCTTGCTGTTATTTCTCTAATCCTCCCCACACTCCCTGAAGTGGGCAAGCGGTACCTTTATTTTATAGATGCGCAGGTTGAAGCCCACAGAGGTCACGGAGCTGGTCACGGTCACAAGGCAGTGAGGGGCAGGCAGGTTGGCTCTGGGGTCTGTGAATTTGACTGCTGTCTCTTCGGTTGTATTGAACCCACCCACCCAGCAACCAGCTTCTGTGTTTGCCCCTGTCACGACCAGCACCTGCCTCCTGGCCTTACCCAGACCCAGGCAAAAGGGCAGCAGGCCAGGATTCAAGTCCAGCTCTGCTGCTTGCTCCAGGCTCTGTGACCGCAGCTGGTTACTTGTCGTCTCTGAGCCTGTTTTGTCACTAAGAGGGGCCAGCAGCAGGACCCTCCTTTGGGAGGTTGACCTTGGGGAGTACTCCCACAGCTCCAGGTGAGCAGTAGGAGCCTGATAAGCGGGCGTCCCTCCCCCGGAGAGTGCTTTGGGGCCCAGCTGCCTGTGACCCAGTGACTGATGTTCAGCTGCTACCGCCCGAAGCCGGAGCAAGTTTATGATGCTCTAGCTGGTTTTTAATCACAGCAAGATGAAAATTTGGCAGATTCAGACACTGATTCATGTGACAACATTGTCTCATGTCTCGTTTGTCTTTCTCTGGCTTTGGCGCTGATGCAGGGGGTGGGGCCTCCACCCTCAGGAGCACCCTGAAGTCCCTCGGGCCTCTTGCATCTGTCTCATGCCCACTGTGGGCCAGGTCTGGGCCTTGAGGGGGAGGGACATGGGGACAAGGGTAGAGGGACTTTCCTAACCCTCTGCCGGCAGGCTTCCTCCCTCAGACCAACCCTGCCATGGCCTGGCGCAGCCCGCCTCCTTCTGCTGGAGGGAGTGCCTGGCCTGTCCTGGCTGGAATCACAGCCTAGGAGGCTCCTTATCCATGATGGCAGATGCCCAGAAGTGTCCAAGTTGCCTCCACTCAAGCATCGCCTCCTCCGGGAAGCCCTCCCTGACCTCCGTAGACAGACTATTCCCTTCATGGCTCTCAGGGCGGGGGCAGAGTTTTTCCCACGTCTGTCTGCTTGTTGGTTGTTACCATCACCTGTGTAGCCCAACCTGTGCTGGGGACCTTGCCAGGCCATTTACAAGGGTTAACAGTCCCGACAGCCTCACTTTTCAGACGGGACACAGAGAAGTTCAGGAGTTGCCCCAGGTCACCCAGCTCATAAAGAGCAGGACTGGCTGGGAAACTGTACCTTCCTGGTCTATGCTGTACTTGTCACTGCGGAGCTCCAGTGGTGAGGACACTGGCGGGCGTCGGGTCAGTATTTGCTGACTCTTGCACTAACGAATGCTGGTCCAAGTGCTGGGGGCCCGGGAGGAAGCTGCTACCTCTGTGCGTCATGGGCACCAGTAGAGATGCCAGGAAGGACACCTGAAGAACGGCGGCGCATCAGCTTTGCCTTAAGGGTGAGTAGGAGTCCAGCTGGTTGTTGGGTGGAAGGAAGGGCAGGCTGAGCAGAGGGAAGAGCATGTGCAAAGACGTGGCAAGTGCAGGGCTGCCTGTGTGTACAGGGTAACAGTTGGGGAACATGGCAAAATCCCAAATCACACAGTGTATTAGACAGCTTGGGCTGCTATGACAAAACACCACAGGCTTGGGGAGGCTTCTAGAGGCTGCAAGTGCCAGATGAGGGGGCCGGTGAGTTCAGTGTCTGGTGAGGAGTCTCCTTCTTGCTTGCACATGTCACTTCCTGCTGTGTCCTCACCTGCCTGAGAGAGGAGCAAGGGAGGTGGTCTCTCTTCCCCTCCCCCCCTTTTTTTTAGTTTTTATTTATTTATTCATGAGAGACACACAAAGAGAGACAGAGACATAGGCAGAGGTAGAGGCAGGCTCCCTGCTGTGAGCCTGATGGGGGACTCGATCCCAGGACCCCGGGATCACGCCCTGAGCCAAAAGTAGACGCTCAAGTGCTGAACCACCCAGGTGCCCCTCTCTTCCCCTTCTTATAAGGATCCTAATCCCAGGGCGGGCTCCACCTACGTGGCCTCATCTAAACCTCTTAACCTCATCATACTGGGGGTTAGGGTTTCAGCCTATGAATTATGGGGAACACAAACATCCAGTCCATAACACTCAGCTGTCGTAAGCAGGAAGAGCTGTCGTACAGGGGATCCGGTGCTAACCACCATCACTGGAAAGTCTGGAGGCACCATCTTGCTTTTGGGCCACTAGGAATCAGCCCTGAGCATCACTACAGAACTGGCCCATCTGGCAAACTGGCCCAGATCAGCCAGGAAGTTGGGGGATCAGGAGCCTGCCACAGCTGCCCCTGGCCACCCAGGAAGCTGGTGACTCTCCCCCAGAAGCTGGTGCAGATGCTCTCCATCTCCTGCACATCTCCCTGGGTGGTGGGGGGACCCGGGACTGCTTTTCCCTTACCTGTGTCCTGGACTCTCATCTTCCCCTTCCTGCAGCCCCTTTGGACTTCTCCATTTAAGGATGATAGCTGGGCAGGTAATTCCCCTGACACCTCCCCCCCAGCCATTCTTATTGTTGACTGCAGGGCCAGGCTTGCCCCTGGTAAGCTCTTTAAGACGGGTTCATTTGCATCCTGCCTTTAATTGGTGCCCTGCCATATCCCCAGTGTAAATCTCCAAATCCACGGAGAAGCAGAGCATAAATCTGCCAGAGCGCTAAGTCTGTGGCAGGGTCCCTCACTCAGCAGCCTAGGAAGTGCCTGTGATGGGAGATGAAAACAGGCAGGTTTTCATGTTCAAAAGACAGAAAAAATCTTGGCCCAAAGCATCCAAAGAGAATCAGACATGGGGTCAGGGGTGGGGGGTGGGGTGGGGAGTCGTAGTGGAAGCTAGAGCCAGGGTGAGGTGGTGGTGGTGGCAGTGGGGCTCACGCAGGAACTGGTGAACAGGCTTGTCGCCTCTGTCGGAAGCCACAGATGTATGGATTTTCTAAATTATGAAATATTTCAAACCTAGGGAAAATAAAAACAAGAGCTTATACTCATGTAGACTTCTTCCTACATGCCCAGAATCATTCTAAATGCTTAATAAAGAAAAATTTCTCTAATCCTCCTTGAGGCAGGTTCAGTGTTTTTAAGTGAAGCACTGAGGCACAGAGCAGTTCCTACGTGGCCTCCTTGGGAAGTGGCAGAGGCTGGATTTGAGCCCAGGTGGTGTGGATGGAGAGCTCCAGGCACGCACCCACCATCCAGATTACCTGGCGTCAGTATTTTGCCTTAAAAAGTCAGGTGGGGGGATTCCCAGGTGGCTCAGCAGTTTAGCACCTGCCTTAGGCCCAGGTGTGATCCTGGGGTCCTGGGATCAAGTCCCACGTCAGGCTCCCTGCATGGAGCCTGTTTCTGCCTCTCTCTCTCTCTCTCTCTCTCTCTCATGAATAATTAAATAAAATCTTTTTAAAAAATAAATAAAAAATAAAAAATAAATAAAAAGTTAAAAAATAAAAAGTCAGGTGGGAGGGTGGCACCTGGGTGACTCAGTGGTTGAGCCTCTGTTTTCGGCCTAGGCTGTGATCCCAGGGTCCCGGGATCGAGTCCCGCATCGGGCTCCCCGCAGGGAGTCTGCTTCTCCCTCTGCCTGTGTCTCTGCCTCTCTCTGTGTTTCTCATGAATAAATAAATAAAATCTTTGGAAAAAGAGAAAAAAGCCAGTGGGAGGGCGTGGGGGAAGGAGGGAGAGGAAGGCAGTGCTCTCAGCTGCCTGGAGCCCTCCCAGAGCGGGCGGTCCCTCACTTACATGTACATGTATGTGTGTGTGTGTGTGTGTGTGTGTGTGTGTGTGCATTGACCATAGAGTCCCCACGTGTCTGAGGACCGAGATAGATTTTGTTTGTACCCTGTTCCCCCACAACTCATGGTCTGGACGTGCCCTTCCCTACATACACAGTCAGCACCAGCACAGGACATGTTGGCTGTGTGGCCCCTAAACTCAGAAGAGGCCACATCCTCCCACCCTGCATCCTGTCCTTTGTCCCTCACGTTTGTTTACCTTCAAGGCATTCACCAGCTCCGGGGCTCTCACCTGCCATTCGCTACCCCATCCCCAGCAGAGGGGTACGTGGGCCGTTGGGACACCGTGTCGTTCATGAGTTTCATACAGATTCTATCGGACGGCACTTTACCTTTTTGCAGCTTGCCTGGTTGGGATCACTGGGGTTGTTTTCAAGTTTATTTTCTGTGCTAACAGCACCTGAAAAGCAAACAAGCACATGCAAAGTTGTGTCTAGTGGCTTCTCTCCCTTGGAGCCACTCGGCTCAGGATTCTAAACCCAGAGGGATGAGTTGGTGACGGAGGTTCCCACCTAAGGCTGACTCACCACGGAAGCAAGGAGATGGCCTCAGAAGGGGAGTGTTTGCCAGAGGGCGAGATGGGTGTGCGTGGCCGAAAAGTAGCAGAAGGAGCATACTCATCGCAGCCTGGGAAATGCAGGCTGGAGGGGGTGTGGGCATTCGTGTCGGGGGTCCCCCAAGCGTCCACAGTTTCGACCCATAATTCTGCCTCTCGGAATGCTCCTGAAGGAAATCCTCATAGATAGAAATGGGGAAATGTCTGGCTACATTGCTCTCGGACCACCAAATATTTGCAACACTGACAGCTAAAAATAGAGCCTTCATCTCTTAGTTTACTCCCAGCCACACATTGGAGTAGATAGGAGTCATTAAAAAGTAGAGGTTTTAAAGATTTTGTTATCCATTTGAGAGAGAGAGAGAGAGTGAAAGAGAACACAAGCAATGAAGAGGGGCAGAGGGAAAGAGCGAAGCAGGCTCCCCAGTAAGCAGGGAGCCCCACGCTGGTCTCGATCCCAGGTCTCCAGGATCATGACTGGAGCCAAAGGCAGGTGCTTGACCGATTGAGCCATCCAGGTGCCCCCCGAAATAGGGCTTTTTAAAAATGAGGTGACAGGATGCTCATGAATTAATGATCATGAAAAAAGTAGAAGGCAAGACGGACCTCTCCAGTAGGACATTCAATTAGGTAGAATCAAATGCCTTGAAAAAAACAACTAGTAGAAAATTCACGAAAGGGCAGAATGGTTCATTCTAGGTGGATCAATCATGGGTGACTTTTGTTTCTTTTGTACTCTTCTGTGATTTTCTAGGTTTTTAGATTTTAGAGGCTGTAAGACATCAGTGGCGGAGCTGGCACACAGCATGGGGAGGTGTGGGTCCCTCGCACATCTTGCCGGCCACATTCTGAGACCAGCTGGCAGCGAGGCAAGGACTCTGTCGCTGTGTTTAGGTCCACTGGGGCTTACCTGGAGCGTCAGGCCTAGCAGACCCAGGTGTGGGGGAACCAGGCAGTCAGCAGCCGGGCCCCAGACCATGAGCAGAGACCCTGGCAAGCTCATACTAACTGATAAGAAAGCAAAGATCACCATGACGCCATGCCTTGGTTCCAACTCAGTGCTGAGCAAAGCTTCCTCCTGGGATGTGAGTGACGGAGCCAGCCTTGGTCCTAATCCTACGACCTCTGACACCTAACAGCTGCGTGACCTTTGGCAAGTGACTTAACCTCTCAGAGCCTGTTTAGTTTCTTCATGCCTGAAATGGAGATGATAATGCTCACTTGCACTGGGTAGATAAGAAAGCACCTCACTGCCCACAGTCTTTACTCACCTGAATGTATGTCCCTAGAGGGCCTGGATGGCAAAAGCGGCAAGAGACAGCGAGGGGTCCGTCAGCTTTGTGACGTCTCACACACTCAGTGTTGCTTTGGGCTGGCCTTTCATTAAGATATAAGCTTTCCCATAAAACCACCGGAGCCTTCCACTATTTCATTCTTGCTGCTAACTCTGCACGGCTGGTTAGCTTTACTGCTCCATGGAGCTGGCATTTGGTGTCTCTTCTCAAGCAGATCCGTGATGATATATTTGGGGGAGATGTGCACACACACAGGATTGCGAGGGTGCGATCTCCACAGTACGGGACTGCCGTCAGGGCCGTCCACCAGCACGTCTGTTCCGTCACTTGTTTGATGAATGGGCTTGGAGCCTGTGCTCGGGGCTCGCCGGGTGCTAATCATGGGCGTGGGAAGGGGACAGAGGGATGGAAGTCATCTGCCCAGGGCCCCTGGGAGGCAGGAGGCACCAAGTGGTGCGGATGCATGGACTCTTCCCTCTCGATCATCCACCCAGACAGTCACCCGTCCCTCCCTCAAGGGGCTAAGGGCACTTGGTTAAGGGTGAAGGCTGGATTAACTGCCCCACCTCCTGCCACCACGTGACTTGAGGCTTGTTACTTTGCACCAGTTTGCTCATCTGTGCAATGTCCTGGGGTTGTGCTCAGGATTAAATGAAATAAAGAGCTCAGAAGGCATATAGAAAGTGCTCAGAATGGAGACTGATTGCCCCAGGCCCCACGCGGGGTTCTAGAATAGGAAGCAGAAGGAGCAGGTCCTGTGCCCTGAGGAACTGGGGTGGGGGTGGGGGCTGGGGGAGGCAGAGTCACAGTGGAGCGTGGGCCGTGGGAGCCCACAGAAGGGGTCGGGAGCTCCCTGAAGAGTCTGGTGGGGGCTCCCTTGTCAGAGGTGAGGGGTTCCAAGCAGTGAACAAGGTGTTCATTGCCCTAAGAGCCCAAGGAGGACAGGCAGCCTGGCTGAGCCCAGGGCTCTGCTGTGAGCCCCCAGGAAAGTGGCCCCCTCCCTCCTGTATCCCTGCCATTCCCTTGGGGTGGAGGCTTGTTCTCCGCCCACCCCCACGGGGCAGGGGAAGGATGTGAGCAGAAGCTGGACTCGGCCTTGGCCAGAATTGGCTCCTGTGGGCCTCCTTCACATATCAGCCACGTGCCCTGGTGAGCTGGGAAGGAGCAGATGGCACCGGGCAGGCAGGGGATGGAGGGCAAGTAGCGGGAGGGGCAGCATCCGTGGAGCAGGGGGGTCGTAGAACTTGGTAACTGGGTGATGTTTTCACATGCAAAAGCAACTTGACCTTGTATCTCACAGGCTCCACAATGCTCCAAAGTCTCCCTCCTCTGTGTCCTCCACCCCTGCCTGTTGGGTTGGGAGTCTGAGGGAGGGAGTGGTGGTACCTGAGCAGTGCGTGTCTGTCGACCCTCCTTCAGGGCCTGCCCTGGCTGTCGGTGGGGCCTGGGCAGGAGGCAGGAGGGGGTGGATTCCGTCTGGGGGTGGGTAGCAATCAGGGATGGCTTCCTAGAGGAGGCAGCAGCACTCTGGGCAGAAGGCTGGGGCATGAGCCAAGGAAGCATCCTCATATCTGGAAACAGAGGGGCCAGACTGTGGGAGGCCTTGACTGCCAAGCCCAGAGTTCGCCCTGAAGGGGGCAGAAGTCAAACTAGCCACTGAAAAATGGCCTCCGGCCTGCGCAGTGTGGACTAACACTTGTTTTAAGCGTTTTATATCGTAACAGCTTTTGACATTTGAAAATCAGGAGATTTCAGGTGAAGGGTGGGTGCCTGTCTTCTCTTGGTGGCTCAGGAAGTCTGGCAGTCCTGGTGGGTTCCCTCCTTGCAACCACAGGTAGAACCCCCAGCAGACCCCCCACACACACACAGAGCACATGCCCTCCAGTTCGCCATCCCCACCCACCCAACTCCCTCACCCCTTCCCATCAGGCGGCCCTGGATGCCCAGTGCCCAGCGCCCCTGCTACCTGTGATTATCCCATTCAGCTGAGGGGGCCCGAAGAGAGTGATGAAGGGGAGGGGGCCTGGTGGACTCTTCACCTGTGGCCAGGGAGAGCAACCGAGTCCAGGAGTCCAGAGCAGGGGCAGAAGGAAAGAGGGAGGCAGGAGGGGAGAGGCTGGGGTCAGGAGACATGGAACACCCACTGATTGAGGTCTGGGCCTCAGCGTGAACAGGAGAGAGAGGGTGACACCCACAGTGGTTCTGCCCAGATGTTCGGTCAACAGTAATCCATTTACCTCGTTGGAAGGTTTTAAGACTCTACGTACAATGAAATCCCAGCTCTGCACCTTCCGCATAGATGACAGAGAGCCCCAACATAACAGACTGGTGAGGATGGCAGGGGGGTGAAGTCAGAGGGTCCCTAGTAATGGCCACGTTGCACTCACTGGGAGGCCTGTCACCTCTGGGTCCCCCAGGGGGATTCACTCCTTCTGTGCCCTTCATCTTCACCCAGAAACACTCCGGATTTGTGCCAGCACACTAGTTGACTATATTGTGTTTCAAAGAAAGCACTCATGTGGTCACTCAACAAACACATATATGTGATTGGCATATGTCATGGAAGTTGCATGGGGTGCAGGACCCAGTTCCTGTCCTTCAGAGCTGACAGGCCGCGGGGAAGCAGGGAAGGGACAGTGGAGTGGAGTTCCAGATGAGATAGGTCCAAAATCTCTGATCTACCGCTTACTAGCTGTGTGACCTTGGGCAAGTCACTTAACCTCTCTGTGCCTCAGTTTTCCCACTTATAAGATGAAAACAGTAGTAGTGTCCACCCCAGGGAGTGCTGTGGAAATGAAATAAGATCATTTAGTGAAGCTTCTAGAGCACTGCCTGGTGCAAATGGAGTGTTCTAAGGATGGCAAGTATTACTGTTTGCTTAGCAGCAATTTACAGAGCACCCACTGTGCACCAGGTACCAGGGATAGAACAGTGATGGAGACAGGCACAGGCCCCTGCCCTTGTGGAGTGGTCAGCACCAGAAGGGTAAACAGGTGAGCAGGGTGGAGTACTGAGGAGCCCCCAGGCGTGGGAGACAGAGCCTCCCGGGGATCATGCTCCCCCTATACTTCCCTGCTCTGAACCTGCCTCAGCTGGCCCCTCCTGGTCACCTGCCAACCAGACCCCCGTGGTCCTTGCAGCGTCTGGAGAGCCTTTGCAAACAGCCTGCCTTCCAAGGCACACTTGCCCTCACTCTCTTGCCAGCTGGTGGGGTGCCTTGGCCTCTCATCTTCTGCTTTCTTTCTGTGAGGAAGGACCCCAGCCCCTTCTACGGGGGTTCTGAGAGGAGCGGGGGACAGTGGGTGGCACTGAGCCAGCGGTCAGCCCTCCAGGGACAGGGGGAAAACCGGTCAGCTTTAAACACACCTGCAGCTCCCCCATGTCTCATGGAGCTCTGTGGTCTGTGGTTCTGCAGAGGCAGCCCGGGGATGATGATCAATTGGTGCCTCGGCTGTGTTAGAGGGGGATTAATTAAAAAGGTGGCTGGGAGATGGATTTCTGGAAACACAGATTGGAAGCCAGTGAAGCTATTGATCTGCCTAATGGGAAGCCGATAGTATCTGAGCGCGCAGATGGCTCTGGCTTAGGGACGTGGCAGTAATCGATGCGGCCCCTTCCCTGCACCGAGATGGGTATTGGGTAGGTGGAGAACACACTGTGGAGGTGCCCCCCAGCCTCCTGGTGGGGCCCCGGCATACTAATTCTGGCTCAGCCAGGGAACCAGCTGTGCTTCTGCTTGGGGTCAGAGGAGCTCCTAGCTGGACAAAGTAACAGATGTCTTGCTGCCTCAGGTGTTATTGTAAAGTTCGATGCAAAATAATAAGTGGGCATGGCACGCGCTGTCCTGAGCACTGGGGACACGGTAGCAAATCCACTGCCCAGAGTCCCGGCCCTCTACAACTCACATTTTAGCAGGTGAGGCACACAGCAAGCAAGTCTGTCTACTACACGGTTCCAGGGAGCATCGAATGTGTGAAGGCCTGGAAAGGGGAGCACCTGGTGGCCTGCAGGGGACAGCTGCAGCCTGTGATATGAATAGGCCATCACCATGGCAACCAACCAATACTCCCCCTCCCAAATTTCAGACCCCCACCCCAGCAGAGAACCACTGACGTGCGCCTGCCCGCTTCCTCCTTACAGAGTCCCTGTGGCTTACGTGTGTTTATGCCTATTTCACAGATGAGCAAACTAAAGCTGAGATGCTCGGCCAGGGCCCAAGGCCACGCGGCGAGGAAATCACGCCTCCGCCTCCGGTGCAGCGCCTCACCCCAGCTGCTGAGTGGGCGTAGCTGTCTCCTTGGCGTCCCCGCTGGTCTGGCCTGTGTGGGCGGTCGCGCTGCCCCCGGTGAGCCGACCATGGACCATCGAGGTGTGGGCAGGGTTTCTCCAGGTCCGGCTGGTGCCTGAGCTCCTGTCTCACTGCACCCCCTCCCTCCCTCCCTAGACTGGGGTCATTTTGAAAGCACTTATTGTGAAATGCTCTCCTGGGATGTGGGTGGGGACGATGGCCAGTGTTAGTCTGTTTATTGATTCCTAGACTTTATAAGGATTTATCTCTGAAACAATAAAATTGAAAGATAGCCTCCGAATTCCTGTCTCCAGCCTGTAGCGCTGCTGTCCCCTGAATTCCATTCAGGCTTGAGCATCCGTGGCTCCTCAGGCACCACCATTGCCCCCTCACCCAGGAGCCTTCTGGGTCTCCGTTTCCTTTCTAGTCTCTTAACAGCCAGGGGGAGCTTTTAAAAGCACAAACAACATCATGGTGCCGGTTCAAAACCCTCCAATGCCTTTTCTTGCATTTTGCATAAAATCCAGGCTCCCTGTCACACGTGCCCTGCCGTCCCCTCCACCTCCTCTTTCTAAAGCATTCCCCTCCAGATGCTCTGTGCTCATTGCAGTGCTTCAGGCACATGGGGTGTTCTGTGGCCTCAGGGCCTTTGCACTTGCCACTCCCTGTCTGAACCACTAGTGCCCCAGGTCTTTGCATGGCTGGTACCTTATCACTGTCCAAGTCTCAGCTCAAACGTCACCTCTCTGAGCACCCCCATGCACCTTCACAGCACTTAGCACCCTCTCAACATAACTTTACTCTGCACCTATGTGCAAGCCTACTGTCTGTCCCCTCCCCCATAGTACCGGGAACTGTCTTTCCTACTTACTACCCAGTCCCAGGACCCAGACCAGGGCTCAGTAAACATTTGTACAATTAATCAATGAACAAAATGTGAGGCTCTGCAAAATTGCAGCCAGAGATAGAACCTGACTTGGCCTGGAATTCTGGGCTTTGCTGGGTTTATCTGCACTTTGTGGCATCATGCCGAGTCTCTGCACCACTCTCTCCGTCTGCCCCAAACCACTGACCTGAGGATAGGTAGCCCTGTGGTCTCCCCAGCTCCCTGGCTCAGGGAGATGTCACGGAGGTGGGTCTGCACTGAAAGCCCAAGCGGTCTGTGTGGCCTTGCCCTGGGGCACCAACCCCAGC